CAGATGCAAATGCAAAAGGCGCTCCAGAAAGAGAATTTGCTTGATCTCTGTAACGCGCAAAATCTGATGCCAAATGCCACTGGTAGATTTGGCAGCACCACCAAGAAGCCATCTGGTGTCAAGAAGGGTGTCGCGACCAAAAGCTGCCAGGGTCAAGCCAAATTACACCGGTGCATGTTCTTTTTTAGTACCCATGTTCTTTGATGTGTGGAAACAGTAGCATTTTTAAAATGAGGAATAAAACTGATAATTCCTATTTATATACAACATATAAACTATCGTATAAATAACTCATAAAATCACCCATTGATCGTCCATTAATCGTCAATTTCATGATCAGTCATACTATGTTAACATTATGAGTTGTTAACATAGCCATGGAAAATCCCTTATAAATGGTAACATAATATGACCAACCATAATATGACTAACCATAATTACCCATAATATTATGGTAAATATCCCTTATTATAGTCACCCATGATTAACCATTGCGAACCAACAAAGATTAGCCTCTGGTTGGGACAATCATCGATTTCTATGGGCCATCGAACTACCATGGCTATGGTAAATAACCAGAGGGTAACTAGATTCTGATGGGAGTTGTTTGTAGCTTATCATTCATCACTTTTCATAATCTATCATTCATGGTGATCAAAATAAATAGTTTGTGATGAGTTGTGATGATTATCTTCATCTCCATAGCCATTGACGTTCATCATTAACAGTATAGACGATAACAGTTACCCTCTGGTAAACTAACAGTTTGCTAGTGAAAATTGCCATTTAGTTCGTTGATTTACCTATAAAATGTAGATGTTTCCATATTTTTTTGTATGTTTACCAGAGGGTAGGGATAGAATGGGATTTTTAGGGAATCTTAATCATTACAAGTAATGTCAACCCTGGATTAATAAACCCCTAGGCCCCTAGGCTGTTCAATTGGGAGGATACCATTTAAGTATCAGATTATGACTATTGAAGGAGTACCCCCCTAATGGATAAACCATGGACCATGGTTTATTAATCTGGGGTTGACACTAGCAGTATAGGTAACAGTTCACCACCATTCACTGTGCCTCCCAGCCAGCCATTCCGCCTCCATCTCTTCGTGCACGCCGCGCAGAGCGTCCCCAGAGACCTTTCGCTCAGCTGCAGACCGTCAGCTGCCGGCGCCGTCAGCTGCCGAAGAGCCAGCCGCCAGGGTGCCTGGCCAAAAAACACGGAAGAGCGGTTTGGGTACCCTCTGGTAAACTAACATAACTATGGAAAAGCACCATGTTCAATGGGAAATGTCACTATAAATATCACCATTTTCAATAGCTATTTTGACATAACCAGAGGGTCTCCGTTGAAACGGGTTGCTCCCAACACCCCAGATGGAAAAAATGGGTGTCAAATGGCTATCTAAAGAGATAGAATGGTCCATTCCTCCCCCCTGCCCTGTGGCTATAATTTACTTCTAATGGGTTGGAGCGACCCTGGGTTTTGAAGGCAAAACCTGCCATAAAAGGCAGCAGTATACATCCCCATTAAATTCCCAACTCAAATACCTAAGGATTCCCTACGATCAGATTATATCCTGGTTGGTGGTTTCAACCCCTCTGAAAAATACTAGTCAATGGGATGATTATCCCATATACTATGGAAAATAAAAAATGATTGAAACCACCAACCAGATATTATATCCCTACACATCATCCCCTATGGATATCCCATGTTCCTCAAGGACAACCAGTGATTCATCTCACCTGCGAGACGGCACCGTTGATGAAGGCCACGTCCAGTCGAAGGCCCTGCTGACGCGCCTGGAAGGAACCACTAATTGGTGGCCTCATCCCCCCTGAAAAATGATGGAGTTCGTCAGATTGGATCATCATCCCAACTCTTGGGGATATTTTTTCCAAATGTTCCAAACCCTTAACCAGAATATGAGTATTCCCATTCTGGTTGTTTAGAATCCCCGGTAGTTGATCATAGTGGTTAGCCACACCATGAAAAAAAAAAAGAAAATAATTGCAATATTGGCATTTTTTTAGCTTACCATAATCAGTAAGCAGTGAAAAAAAATCAGGATCCTAAATTGGAGCTACGTTTTTTGTACCATATTTTAGGCCATATGTTGTGGGGATAATCCTTTACATAGGCCTGATTTTTTTGCGCCTTTATATATGGTAGCTACTCCAATGAATCGGTTCCTGAAATGGCCATTGAACTAGCAGAAAACGACTTTCTATGGGAAAAAACAAAAGTTTTACGGCTTTTACTGGACAAAAACATGGATTTTAAGCAAAGAAATAGGTAAATCCTCCACACATGGGTCACATGGCTCATTTTCCATAGCTATGTGAAATCACCAGAGGGTATAGGATGTGTTTATCCATGTCTTATCCCTAAAGCACAAAGATCAAAGGTCGAGATCTGTGTGGCCGTCAACCCTTTGGAACCCCTCCAATGTTTGATTGTAGAGATTTTTGTTCCATGATTGTCCCTATTGAACGTGCCATGGTAACTATACTCCAAGTTCGGACACATCCAAATTATAGCATAAGCTATTAATCATATCAAATCTCATCAACTCCATATTCCATCCTCTAAAATTGATATTTTGATAAGTTTCCCGACTCAGGACATGTTTAAACCGGTGAAACCCCTTGCTTTCAACATCTTTCAACCATCACAAGGGGTGTTTTTTCTTTCACGGCGGGAAGATTTCCAAAACCTTTGTGTTGTCTTTTTTCGAAAAATCGGATTCTGGTCGAGTTTCAGGTACCAACATAACCACAAAAAACCCTCTGGTAATTCAACATAACTATAGAAAATCACCATGCTATTAATGGGTAAATCAATGATCAACGGTCATTTTCCATTGCAAACTGTGAATGTTTACCAGGCCGGGTACCCCCCCTGGAATTCCAACTAGCCTATGTTGAACTCCCAGAGGGTAAAGACTGTCTTGTTCTTGGTGTGAAAAACCATCCATGGATTGCATTTGGATATGAAATTTAAGAATGTTGGCCCAACAAAAACATCTACATGTAATACATCATGTAAATCATCAATACGTAGCCACTTACATGGTAAAACCATCTAAACACTAGTTAGTGGCTTTTAGTATGAAACCGCCTTGGGGGTGGTTTTTTTTGACCCAAACTCCCCAGTTTTATATGAGATTTCTGGATGTGTTTGGGTCTTGATCCATAGCCATATGCTGCCCTGGTTGGAACATCCACCAAACATAACTTTGGAGATTCAACGGGCCGAAAAGGCTGGTTTTTTTTGGCTAAATAAAGATGTCAGACGTAAAAATCACATGTTTGCCCCTTGTCAATGATCATCTACCCTCCAAAAAATCGAGAGTTACAATGGTTTTTTCCCCTGCAAATGAAGGTTGTCGTGGGAAAAAAAAAAACATATACAGTATAAATTCATATAAATGGTGGATTTTCTCCATTGCTATGTATGATTACCGGTTCTTATAAAGGCTTGTAGCCACCTTGTTGGCTTAGCCCATTGACTCCCCGGTCCTCCTTCAGAAGGTCGTAGGCGACACGCCAGGGACGGCGTTTCGTGGCTGCACTGAAGTGGTACACATCCGCCTGCAGTGAAGCCCTGGTAGATTTCCCGTTGGTAACCCCCAGTAACAATGTGAGGCCCCCCAGTGATGTTTGTTGGTTAACAAAAGCCCCAGTAACTATAGTTATTTGCGTACCATAAACCATATAGTTCTATAGTTCTGTAGTTTCCCCAAAAAACGCTAGGTTTCCTATATAGAACTATATATTATATAATTATCATATATCATTCCAGGGATAAAACCTATATCGTTCCCAAAACTATATGCTCTCCATGGTGCTGGTATATGGCTACCTACAAGTTTCTGGGTGATAAAATTTTATGGGGTACATGTTGGGATTCATATTCCAGCACCATGGGTTGCATATGGGATATATCATGATGTACTATGGATGGGCCTGCGAAATCCTGCACCACCAAAAGGATGGTTGAAACCCTAACAAAATCATGGGAAAAAACACCGTCAACTGGTGCAGGATTTCGCAACCATCCACAGTATCTACCATCATCTGGGTACAACCAAAAAATCATTTGCACCATCCCCCAGTCATCACCATAAATATAGGTGATATTCAAACTTACCATTCCTAGTCATGGGTGGTTGACATTGTTTTACCGCCATTGGGATAAGCCTACGAATCGTGGACTTACTATCTAGGGTTATTAACTATGAGTTATTAACCCGCATCTGGTTGGTGGTTGACCTACCCCTGTGAAAAATATTAGTCAGTTGGGATCATTGTTCCCAATATATGGAAAAATAAAAAATGATCCAAACCACCAACCAATTAAGTTATTAACCCGCATTAACTATAGATATATCATGATGATTTCATGATACATTTACCATAAACCCAAGAGTTATTGAAGTTCGAAACACCAACTATGGGGCACCACCGCACCGTAAGAAGGGGTAGATTACTCGAGTAGATTTTGGAGATCTATCTCAATTGGAATGGATAATTTGTTGATCTGCAAAGTTAGTTCAATATTTGGGTGTGTATATCCGATGATATGAGCCATGGTCAATACTCACTATATGGTTGATGGTCATCCCATCCATAATAAGGATCCTTATAATGGTTATTAAAATAAAAAAAAAAAACCTATGAACCATTGGATGACTAGCCCCTTTTAATGGTTATTAACCATGAGTATTGACCATAGCTCATATATATATATATATACTCCATAGTTCAGGGTTAAAACCAGATATCAACTATTTATTGGGATTCCACCCCGATATATCTATGATGATAGAGAAAAGCCAGCCCAAAAGGCCATAGTTTAGCGGAGATTCTGCACTGGATCAAGTCTGCCAGGTGAAGTTCCGTTCAGAAATGCCCTGGATTTTTTTGGAGGTTTTTATGGCTCAGAACATCATGGAAGTGAATTTGGTATATAACATAGCATTACCCTAGCCAATGGTGATTTTGGGGATATATATAATGGCAAATACCACTGAATTGGGGAGATGTTCTATGTCAAATGCGGTGATTCAACAGTTTGATATGGTATAGATGGCCCATGAAAGGAGATGATCTGCATGGCCCATGGTGCCTTTTCTGCCCATGATCCATGTAGAAATAGTAAAGTCTCAAACGAAATAAAGAGCGTGATTCACATGGCCAAGCAGCTCAGTCTGTGCCAAGCAGTCTTACATTCAATGTCATTTGAACAATATTTGAACCATACATGCCTGAAGTTCAAGGCAACACCCCAAAGTGGAACTTAATTTCATATTGTCATCCAAAGATGCCAAAAAAACAATGATTATAATATGAAATGATAGTTCCACTTGCAAAAAAAAAATCATTTCATCTTAGTATCATTGTTATTTGGCATCTTTGGGACACCATTCTGCTTTTGGCAAGACAAATCAGAATCATCAGAATCCTTGTAGCCTGCCACATCAAAATAGCCGAATGCTATGAATGCTCATCCCGCCAGTCACACGGGGAGTGTTCAAAATCTCTCTATCATTCCATTTAATCCTGGTTGGTTAAGAACGGGATTCCCCGTTCTTGGATTATGACATAACCCCCAATATATTGTATTGGTGATTATATTGAATATATATATTTATATATAATAACTATATATATAATAATTATATATATATATTCCCCGAAAATATACCCTATTTGATAATATCCTATTGGATTATTCTATTCCCCTATTGATTTCCCTATGTTGGAACCCCCTCTGGTAAATGTTTATACAACTTTGGAAAGATCCACCATTTTTAGGTTCGGTAAATCAACGAACTAAATGGTCCATGGCTTCCATAGCTATGTAACAAATTACCAGAGGGTATATTGATTCTCCGAAAAGGATAATTATGGATATACCCTCTGGAATATCCTATTTATATATATTTATTTATATGGATAATATTATTGATCATTATATCCCAATTATTTATATAATATTATTTATATATATCCCAATAATGATCAAGATGATTCTTGGGATATTCCATATCGATTCCCCTATTGGATAATATCCATAGGATCCTAACGGTGCTGCTATATATGGTGTGCCATGGATCCCATCAATATACCCCCAGTCATGTTAGCATTAATCTACCAGCACCAGCCGGATCCGTCATGGGATATCCTATTGGTGAATATATTGGGATCCCCCAACGAATCATCAACCAGGCTGTAGGGATGATTCGCTCGAATCTAAGGCCATGAGGTCGCAATCTGACTTCTTTGCCCACCTACAAGGTGGTGCCCCCGTTCGGAATCGCTAAGGAAAGCCTAGAAAACCATAGGAAAATGTGGTTTAATGGGATTTATAGCTGATTTATGATAGCGTTCAGTTGGGGGCCACATAACTCCAATAACTATGGTTTATGATACGCCAATAACTATGGTATTCATGGAGTTTATAAACCAATAAACATAACTAGGGGGCACCACCTTGCATGAGGTTGCAATAATTTGCCCACCTATGTATTGATCATCAAATCCCCATTTACACAAGGCTCCAAGTTGGTTTATGTTCACCCGTGTTCACCCAAGTGCAGATATATCCAATCATCGATAAATCCCCATGTTCGGTGGTTTGGTTACATCTTTCTTGAATGGTTGAATGCCAGTTTAATCTATTTAGAAACCAACAGAAACCTATCTCTCAAGGCCCACCCTGTATTGATGGTACGTTTGGTGGCTTGTTGAAACCATCTTACTGGTTGGTTAAAAAAAAAAAAACGTCAACTCCAAAATAGCGTCCTTATTTCAAAATGAATCGCAAACATCGAAAACATATGATTTTATTAACATAACACTTCCTTATGTTAATAAAACTTATCAAAATGTATCTTTGTTAACATATGATTCATCGATATGATTTCCTCCAAAAAGTCTGTCGAAAAAAAAATGTGGTGAACCCAGTCAAAATCACCATCCCCCATGATTTTGGGTCTACTTTTGCTTGTAGCCAAAGAATTATTTGGGATAATCCAAGATTAGCTTCAAAAGCTTCCTGTCTGGGATGGTTTCATTATGTGGTTGGTGCTTGACCGTCAACCCCTCTGAAAAATGATGGAGTTAAAGTCAAATGGCATGATGAAATTCCCAACATATGGAAAGTCATAAAATTGTATGGTTCCAAACCACCAACCAGTTGGGGATTGATGTTGACATTCCCCCAAAAAATGGAAACATAATCCAGTCATGTTCCAAACCACCAATCAGTTAATTGTAGTATATGGATTTACTGCACAAGCGTGGAGAAACACCATTTTTACCCCGGCATCGACCCAGAACAATCATCCACTGTGTTCATTTCTACACCTCATCTAGTCTAGCAATTAGTTAATAGTTGATCCCATCATCCAGTATCTTGATTGACATATGATGAATTAATGAAGCGAATATCAAATATATATTTCAGGAAACCAAGTATCATTCCAGAAGGGTTTAAACATAAATTCAAAATAGAACAAACTAGAATTGAAGTGACCGAAAATGAACGTCTCTATATGCCTCATATATTACCCGGCCTGGTAAACGTTAACAAAAAACGATGAACAATCACCATTTCGATAGGCAAATCAACGAACTAAATGAGCCATGTTCAATAGCAAACTTGAATCTTAACTCTGAAATTTAATTAATTACTCTGACAATTAAAAACAGAGTATGCAAATCAAATTACCAGAGTATATTAACTAAACCAGATATATTAAATATACTTAAATATATATATATACGATTATTCAGGATATCTATGGAAATTACCAGTTAATATATACCATGTCCATCTTTCTTCGTGAAGGGACCGCCGTGCTGACTCACGGCCCGCCTGAATCCCAGCTTTCTTCAGGCGGCCCAACGCCGAGTCGCAGGGCCCGGTGCGAATCACCTTTCGAAATGGGCGATCAAAACCCAGGTACCAAGCCTTGGAAGGTGGAAGCCTTAGGTTTCTAACTAAGTTAGGTGTGATCTAAGTAGATAGATATATAGTAGATAGATAGATATAGTAGATCTAAGTTAGGTGTGATCTATGTTAGATAGTCCGATAGATATGGTAGAAACCTAAGAAAATAGTAATGACAAATGTAATGACATAGATCACACCTAACTTAGTATTTTGTAGTAATGATCTATAGTTCCCGTTGGGTTCCTAAACCAACTTCTCGGGGGACCAGCTGATGGTGGTCCCATGATTCCATCGAACTGGGATAAAAATGGCTCGACTCATTCCACAACATACCCGGCCTGGTTATTTACCAAAATAGCTATTGAAAATGGCAATCTATAGTGAGTTGTCCCATTAAAAATGGTGAGATACCCACTGGTTATTTACCAAAATAGCGAACTGGAAGCCAGGGCCAGTTATGAAAGAGTGGATTTACCCATGAACAAAATGGTGATTTTTTTTCCATAGTTTTTTGTGAACGTTTACCAGAGGGTAATTTTGCTTTTCACCCGTGCCTAAATATGTGTCATGGTCAAATTACTGTAGGATCTGAGTCATCCCACCACCACCATCAGGGCATGACCATCCTCTTTTCGGGGCAATGATATACCCTGCAGTAAACTAACAGTTGCTATGAAAAAATGGACCAGTTATATATGATTTGCCAATGAAAAATGGTGATTTTCCATAGCTATGGTTTTTTCCCAGAGGGTAATCTATATAGCTGAAATACATTGTATATCATTGTATTAGATCAAACAAAGTGGCGAAAAAAAATGTGAGTTGTTCAGCCATGGGGATAGGGGATAGGTCTGTTGATGGGTTGGGCCGCCTATGGCGATGAGGATACACCAAGGCATTTTGGGGCCCCCGGTATCCGATTTAGGTTTTGGTTGGAAAATCTGAAAACATCTGAAATAGATGGGTTTGTCTGAATATATCTGAAAATATATAGGCATTATGTTTGGATCATCCGATTTAGGTTTAGTGTATATTTCTATGGGTTTGTCTGAAAATAGCGTATCCCCAATTCCAATGAATTATCACCATTCTTTCATGCAAAAATGAGCAGTCTTCATATCCACATGTCGTCCCTTTATTCTGGATTCCCACCATGGATGACGATAATTCCCAATACACTGGGTAGTATGACTCTCTATAGTCATGAACCAACAGTGATTTTGAACACTGCTAAAATGGACATTGACAATCATATGGGTATGGATCAATACCTATTAATACCATTTTTAATGGGATGAACATCCATTTACCAGCTATTTGGGGGTTCACTAGGTACCAGGGTTTTGACCCATCCCCATATCAATTATGCCGTATTTTCAGACACACCCATATAACTGGGAGAAAAGAACATTTAATGCTGGTTGTTTAAGTACCTTCTGACTTGAATGGTCAATCACTCCGGCAAGTCTCCTCCTGAATGGGCATATCCCCTTATGGGGGGCTTGACTCTGGCTACCCCAAAAACAAGAGAAGTCAATTGGTGTAGTTACCCTCTGGTAAACTAACATAACTATGGAACATCACAATTTTTAATGGGAAAATCCAGTATAACTGGCCATTTTCAATAGCTATGTTAGTTTACCAGAGGGTATCTCATGTTGGAACGAAAAGAAAATGGCAACCATCAACCAGTTTTTAACCGGTTTTTCCTGATGTCTCTAGGATCATCCCACGAAAGTGGAGAGTAACCAAGGTGCCTTGGTGCCCGTTGAAGCAATGTCAGAAAACGTGTTACATGGATATAAACAAATAAATGTCAGTGGATATAAGCAATGCAACAAAAATCTTAGCCATCTTTAAGTATAGCACCCCCAATTTTTTTCGATGCCAACTTTTGTGGGTTTCACCAGTTTAAGTGAACGCGAGCCGATGATATTTCCTTGATATATCCAGGGGAAACCCACTTTATCAACCTTCAGGGGGGTCTCAAAAACATGACTTCTGTGGCAGAGATAGAGTGAACTTTTTAGAGAATCTTGGTGGAAACCCACGAAAACGGGAGAGTTTTTGGGGGATTACAATTATCCATAAAGCCAAGATAATTAGTGATAAATCCCTTATAGATAGGAGTAAATTTCCCTGAATCAAGTCCGGCAAAATAATCATAAATAAATCATCATATATAAATCCATATGAATCCTCAAGATTCGAGCATCTTTCATAGCCAACTCACTCTGAGTTCCCAGGTTCCCAGACCGCTTGCTGCTTGGCCATACACCATGGCCATGAGGCGCTCAAACATGCCGTGACAGCTCTACATGTTCTCGCTGATTCTTAAGGAACAACAAAGTTTCAGGGAATATTGGGTATCTTGCTAAAGTTTCTTGCGTCAGTTTCGTGCTAATGTCCTTTTGGTAAAAATAGGTTGGGGCCGGGAGCTGGTTAATCCCATCTATCACCATGTACATGTTGGTTAAAGGGGTAAACAAACTCCTCTATTGATCAACCAACCAATGGGAAAAGGATTTGTGTAATAACTACATGATCTCTAAGCCAAGAACGGCCTCTGTCGTAAGTCAAGAACGGGGCATGAAATTTTCGTGCCATCAACCGGTATCTATATAAATCAACAAACATCATCACTAACTGTGGATTCCCCCAAACAAAATATTTAGTTTATAAATTCAACCATTTAATTATTAGTTAGAAATTTCACTAACTTTGGATTCCCCCCAAAAAAACTATTTAGCTAGAAATTCAACCATTTACTTAGTTAGAAATTAAGCCATTCATTAAAAGAAACATGGTTACCACCCAGCTGATAGTTATGCCATGGGGGACCCATCCGACCCACCAAGTCTCTGATCCTAAAAAGTCGCCCAACATCTCTGGTTCCCTGATTCTCAAATCTGGGTTTCATAGGCATCATGTGCTACGAACTATATATATATAATATACATGTATTATATGTATATAACATAATATATATATATAATATACATTTATGTGACAAATGGGGGTCGCTCCAAGCTTGAACTTCTTCAAAAACGTGGATTTCATCAACCTGCGGATGTTTTATTGGTCACCTTTCAGGTTGAACTACCAATGGTCAGTCGTCAGACCTGGCAGCCATTACTCTAGCTGGTTGGTACATATTCGTATCCCCATTTGGTTGGCAAAATATAGGTGTTTTAAACTAGCCATTCCAAACTCAACCAGAACGGGGGACATGCCAAATTAGCAATTTCAATGGGGAAAATGATGATCATGAAATTTTGGGGGCCAAACATGAACAACTATTACTGTTTGCTATGATGAGTATTTCAATCCGTGCCTTACTCCCTAATATAGAATACACATGAATACACCCTAGAAACCGCTGGTTTAATATTGGCCCTATTCATGTTGGGGCCCAACGGAACGTTAGTCTTTGCGTTTCGAGATTTGAAACGGTCTCCGTCTCAGGCTATTTATGACGATCCTCTTGTAATACAGTCTGGGAATGGGACACCGTCATTTTAAGCCAATGATAACGGTATAAATCTGGTTGGTGGTATACCTACCCCTCCGAAAAATATGGTCACTTGGGATGATTTTATTCCCAATATATGGAAAGTCTAATCAAATTCCAGGGTTCCAGTCACCACCAACCAGAGATTATTAACCATTATTAACCATTATTAACCATTATTAACCATCATTACCCCATACTAAACCAATGTTCCAGTCACCACCAACCAGAAATAAGTTTCACATAGTTTAACCAATGATAAAACCACTGAGTTCCCAAATCCCCTGGTCAGCCTTGAAAAACACCCATGGTGGATGCTTTTTGGGATGAAACTACCATGGTCACTGGGACCATCTGCCCATAACATAAAGGGGGTGTTGATGAGTTTAGGGGGATGGGATTCATCTACCCAGAAATCAGCCAGATAGCAATGGAAAATCCACCCTCTGGTAATTTAACATAACTATGGAAAGATCCACCATTTTTAATGGGTAAATCCACTATAAATGGCAATTTTCAATAGCTATGTTAGTTTACCAGAGGGCAAAAATCGATGTTCCAATCAACCTCCATTGAGGATCTCCCAGCCATGTTTGGTGACACCGCGACACCGGGCACCTCGATTTTCCCAGTTTTCAAAAGGTCGAACAACGTTCCCATTCTCGTTGGTCGATTCCCAATTCTTCTGTTGGTGAACTCTCTCCCAAAAAACTCGGCGAATTGTCCATCGTTTGTTAGTCAAAACATGTCAAAATCCAATGTTTGTTGCTAAAAACCAGATGTGTTCCATGCGTTGTCCCAGTTTAACCAGTTTACCCCACTTTTCTGTCGTGAATTCCCATCTTTTCCGTGCCCAAAAAAAAGTTCGGACACAACTCCTCTGCGGTGTCGGCGAAGCGTAGCTGTTGTGCATCCTGGCATCGAGGGGTACAAGCCGAGGTTTTAAGATGGTGTAGTGGGGATGATTGGGATTTTTTTTTTGGCGTACTATACGTATTTACCCTCTGGTAATTTAACAAAAAACTATGGAAAGATCCACCATTTTTAATGGGAAAATCCACTATTTCTATGGTCATTTTCAATAGCTACGTTAAATTACCAGAGGGTAATTAGTATACAAATCTCCCACCCAGAGGATTTTTCAATGGGATTTAAATTGATGCGTTATTATACTTAATTAAAACATACTCCTTATCATTTGCCTCATTAGTGGGACATTAATGGGATTATCTCAATAGGACAAAATTATATAATGGATTTGATTGGATTTGATGGAATGTAATGGGGTTGTTGTAAGATTTGGTGGGATACAACGGTGATTTCATGGGATAGTGGGATTAAGTGGGGTATAAATTCTGTGTGTGAGTGTGAACATGTGGTATAGCGACCATTTATGGCAATTTCTATAGGTTAAGTTCAACGATGATAAAACATAGGATCTTAGAGGTATTCCCATTTTCACACAAACCGATCTGGGTACTTCGGGGTATGGGTCAAAACCACACAGGTTTTTAGCATCTTCAAGCAAAGCAGAGACCTGGGGAGATAGAATGATACGATGAAAGGAACCAAACTTGTTTACACTTTGAGCTTTTAAATCAATACTTGATGATACTTGATGCAACTTGATGCAACAAATGCATACAAACTCATAGATATTAATAAAGAATGAATTACAACAAATCACCAACTTAAAAATTCTTTGGCAGTGAGGTCGCCAACCAGTTCATTAATTAATTACCCTCTGGTTATTTAACATAGCCATGGAAAATCCATTATAAATGGAGGTTTCTAGCTGGGAAAATCATCTATTTCTATGGGTCATAGCTTCCATAGCTAAATAACCAGAGGGTAATACAGTATTACCATAAGTCTAGGTATCATTCCAGTGACTTCGCAGGGAGGTCGTTAGCATTTATCCAGGTGAATATCATCGGATATCCCCTGCAAAAAAAGGGGATCCAATCTGCAGATCCAGGACCGATCAACAGTTGGAGACCCGGGGATCTACTAGAATCCTGGGAACATACCACAGTTTCACCTATTTTTAACCCCAACAAGATGTATGGCGATTCGGAGTTCCGAACCGTTCGGCTCTTCGTTAAAACGTTGGCGAAAACGGGGTTTCGATCTTCAGCTTTTTTCAGCTGATCGCTGCTGAGCCTTGAGAGTCCGTGAATCTTGGATTTCCGTTGAGAGGTTTGAAGTCGTGCTGGCGTTGTCATTACCCTCTGGTGAACTAACATAGCAATGGAAAATGGCCATTTATAGTGGATTTTCCCATGAAAAATGGTGATTTTCCATTGCTATGTTAGTTCACCAGAGGGTATCTGGTTGGTGGTTTCAACCATCTTGAAAAATATGAAAGTCAATGGGGTTGGGATTATCCCATATATATTATGGAAAATAAAAGCCATGTTCCAAACCACCAACCAGTTATGATCTTTCTTGTTTTGCCACTGCAACACATGTCTCATGGTCAAGTTACATGCCTCTTTTGCTTATGGTTGTCCTACGATGAAATGTGAAATCTGTGTAAATTGGCCAGCTGGTTGGTGGTTTCAACCCCTCTGAAAAATATGGAAGTCACTTGGGATCATTATTCCCAATATATGGAAAGTCATAAAATTCATATTCCAAACCACCAACCAGCCAGTATAGTTCCCGTTGATGGTGCTATATATCCCCCAATATGGGGGGATGGTCACCCAATTTGGTCAATGATTTGACCCATGTCGTGTCAATCTGGATCCATATGGCATCGTCCAACTTTTCACCATGGCATCTGTGTGGTTTGGGGGGGAATCATGACACGCCTGGGGATGGACGTGCCGGAAAATGGCCATTTTAGATTGGGGAAAATCATGATGAACATTGATGAACCAATGTATTTGGGGGTATGGTCCCCAAAATCATGCCGCAAAGATCTTCCAGTTTGATGATGCTTCCCCCATCATTCCCAGGCATCCAACGTCACTATCTATTTTGGGGGGGTGCTATGCCCTAGATGGAGGCTTCAGTGGGGGTACCCCCAGTCATCATCCATTTCAGTAGGATTTTCCATGAAATTAAACCATCCAGCTAGTGGGGTACCCTCTGATAAACATTCACAGTTCGCTATGGAAGCCATGGCCATAGAAATAGATGGTTTACCTATTAAAAGCATGACGATTTCTATAAATTTTCATTAGCTCTTGACCATTTTCTATAGAAAATCAGCATGTTTTATGGGTAAATCAACTATTTCTATGACCATTTTCTATAGCTAACTCTTAGTCATTCCCATTTCAGCTACCCCCATTTTCTATACAAAACCCTCCAATCCAGTCGCCATCTGCAGCCAAGGCGCCCAGTCGCTGATCATGCCGTAATGGACAAACCTCAGCAGGCGCGTGGGTTTTCCCAAGAGATTTGGGTTTTTGGTTGGGATGATGTTCCCCGAGAGAAATAGTTGTTGAGTCCATATAAAATATATCAAAATATGGTTGTTTATCCCTATTTTGTGAAAAACACATCCCTGCTAAATGAATGACAAACCCCCATGAAAAGAGCCTTATTTATACATGAGTTCCCATTAGAATATCAGGGTTGTTCACGAATCTGAGCTCAACAGTCCTTAAAGTTTTTGCGCTCAGACCTGACTTGCCCTACGGATTCGATGATTCCATAGATTGTGCCGGTCAATGATACGAAGGAAAATATGGCTCCTGGGATCCCATATCGGTATATAAATGAAACAAATGATAACTGGTTGGTGGTTGAGCCTACCCCTCTGAAAAATATG